ATGTTGAAACCAGTTCTGGTCAACTGAAGAACTACTGAGTAATAATATTTGTTGTTTTTTTCAGTACAATTATACATAAACTTATAAGACAGAAGAAGCTGAGTAACAACGCCATGAAGTGCATGCTGGGAAGTTCAATAGAGGAATTGGACTTAGAGGGCGTGTATCTGACAGCCAAGTCACTAAAAATTATCGCCGAACGTTGCAATAATCTTAAACGTATAAGTTTACAAAATTGTGGATATTTAATGAATGACCAGATATTTATACAAATGATTAAGGTGCGTATCTTCAACATTTGTCTCTACTATTTGTAAAAATAATGACTGATGTGTTTGTGTTTTTAAAGGGCGGTGGTCGTCGCGTCCTTGGGACTCATAGCGACGTACACAGCGCGTGTAAATGCATTGTTTGTCTACATGAAACGCGAACACGCGCTGTGAGACGACCACCTCCCTTTAACAAGAATGCCACGAAGGTTACCAAAACATTTTGTTTCAAGTTGCTAAAAACGTACACCTCATAGTACACATTTCTTTTTTTTTAAGTACACATTTACAATATCATTCTTCCTCCTAGTTTCTTGCTTCATAACCATTTCTATATTATCGATCATTTTTATATTCCAGATAACATATCTGTAAACCATCCATAATTTCTAAGTGTTGTGTTATATTATGATTTATGGTTGACCTGGAAACTTGAATAATTCACATAATTGAACAAAGTTTCGGTGACCGGAAATTGATAAAAACTTTTCATGGCTGATCCAGTCTGAGTAACTTGCCTATACGGCTCATTTATTAATAACTTATATCTAATTCCTCAAATGTTGTACTCATTTCAACATGTTACCATGGAGACAAATTCCATGTTTGGGAATGATTTTCCGTCAACCTCTCGAAGACTCGCTTACGACGAAATATATTACAGTAACATTTATGGACCTATTAGCCAAATTAGATACATTCTTGTCATTTTTTTTTCTCCGTTGTTGTTAAAAGTTAAACTTTCATCCGATGTATTTTTACACAAAGCTGTCAATCGCGATAGAAGCAGCCAATCACGATACGGGGCTGTGATCAGACTTAGCTGTCTGGCAACAAGGTGTAAAAAATATCGACCAGCTGTATTTATACACTAGGACAAGTGTAGTGGAACCATTGCCGAAACTCACTTCTCACTACCGCCAAGCTTCATCCATTAGGGACGAACCATTTTTTATTTAGAGGGAGTACGACAGGGCATGACGCAAGGAAAACAAAATAATGTCATTCTCAAATATCCCCTATCATCAGCAAAAATTATGGTAACCCTTAACAACCAAATTTATTTATTTACATGAATGTAACACGTCGGGAAAATGTTTTGTTTCATCTTGAGAACAGCTGACAGTGGCTGTCAGATTTTCTTTTATTGACTGTATTTCTGTTCTGGTAACTGTCTTCAAATACATTAAAAGAAGTCGGTTGAGTTTTTTTTTTCAACCTTTGATGGTCTGTTTATTTTACTTAATTTAAAGTTGATTTTTAGAGTTTCTCGCGTGGCGCGGTTGACGCAGGAACGTGTCTGTGTGAGACAGCATTTCATTTGCCTATAGAACACAACTGTATTGAAGTTGCGCTCAGAGAGCATTGATAGAGCTATATTGGAATCGTTAATGGTATGAATATGTGCGGATTGAGAGAAATAATTGATGATTCACCTGGAGTCGCCCTCATTCCAGGACAGGAGCGAAACTTTGTGAATTCACGGCGCTTAGTAGCTAAGGGCAAGTTACACGGGGCACGGTTACTAGATTCTTCTAGTAACCGTGCACGAGACAATTCATTGTATGCGCTACATGAAGAATTGCCTCGTGCATGAACCGGGTGTTCAGTAAACGGAATTCGAGCACAGAATCAATCATTATGAAGCCGAAAAGCCGCATATTAACATTTTTATTTATTATACATATTCCTTATTTTCACTAAATATTATATTATTATTAGTATTAGTCAACAATTTCGATGTTTTGGGGAATAAATGTAAAATAACACGCGAACATGTTAACAGCAGCTCCTGTATACTTCACAATCAACATTTTTCTATTAAAAACATTCTACAAAATACTCTTGATATAACAGTACTTTGTAAGACAGGATGTATCAATTCCACGCCTTTCTTCGCCGAACAAAATGTTGGGACATTTTTGTGCCATAAGAGCAGTGACCAACAATATCTAAAAATACCAAAACTGAATATTTTCGCTGGATTTGTGTACGTTGACAAAATATTTTCACCCAATTTTATTCATGCAATGTCACAGATGTCGAAATATAAAAAAAATCACCATTTACTTTTGGGCATGGTTTCAATCAAGTTAAGGAACGACAAGATCAGATGTCTGGCGCTAATATTGCAACCCGGTTAATTACAATTGGAATTATTTATGCTTATTTGACGCTAGTTTAATTGTTGGTACGAATTCCATCGGTTGCACGGTCATACTATAGCGTTTTCTTTTAACACTACAAAATCTCACCACTTTTCCAGAAACTGCCGATGTTGGAGAAGATCAACCTATCTGGATGCACGCAATTAACAGGGAGGTCATTGAAGGCGCTAAGAAAACATTTGCCCAATATTTATGGGTTGAATATATCGTGTATACAAAATTTTACCCACCAGGACATTGTGGAGTTCGTTGAAAATAGCCCTTGTTTAATATATTTGAACTTTCTGTCCTGTAACATGGAGCTTACCGACGAATTTTGTTTGAGATTAACCTCTGTATGGATTGGACGAACACATATGAAGTTAGTGTACCAGTAATCCTTCCACTGCCATTGTCCAATGTGTGTATTTCTCCATAATAATGATTAACCTTTTTATTCATATATATTAAGTTATATCAGGTATCTGTAGGTTTGATCACTTACTAGAAAGGGGAACGTATCTAAATTACCCCCTGTAACATTACGCACACATTTATTTGATTCTGTTACACAAAGTTTCTGTGTGTGCTTTTTTTTTAATTTAGTGTACGCCGCTGATTTATAGTTTTTAACTCAGGATTGAGTGTTGAAAAACTAAGAAGTGTAAGATTATTATTATACAATAAAGCAACAAAAATACATTTGTTATCAATATCCGATGATCTTGTTTTATAAAGTTTATCACGATATTCCTTTGACTTAAACTTTACTGTATACATGTACATTGTATTATATTTTTACGTACGATTTTTATAATTTCCCCCAACGTTGATGCATAAGCAAAAAATGTATTAAACAACAGTGAAATTGTGAATAGAAAATGTATGTCTTTATTTGACTGTAAAAACAGCGCATTCCCCCAGTATATTATTTTTTTGTAATATGGACATTTTTACGAAAGTGTCGAATCGAATACCGTTCAAGCAGTCTGGGAGTAGACTGATTCTGTTGGGGTAGCGTAATAGCGAATATTTGCGGTCTAGAATGGCTGATTATGACTTCCCCATTTATTCATTACAATGTGACAAGTGTCTATAGTGTCTCAACAGTTTCCTTGCAATATATTATGTAAATTAACTGTAGTTGTGGCTGTACTGTTAAAAAACTAAATATAAAATTTAGCCCGCACTATAGGCTACCGACCCGAAAGTATTACTTTTGACATAATTAACATATGGTTGAGATATTTACAAATTTTTAAGTGACGCGTTTCATAGTGAGTCAAACATGAGAGATTGGAGATTTTTGGGGGTTCTGTAAAATTATGTATTTTCTTTTTAAATCTTAACTCCATTATGGACTTTCAAGTCAAACATGACACGCGTTCAACTGTTCACATTTGCAAACCGGACAAACTTTGTCTTCCAGTTTCACTCATTGTACAGATAGATGAAATAGTAATAGTTGAGTGATCATGAATGATGTCAGTATCCGAATCGCAACTACGTTCTTGTATTGGAACAGTAAATACAATATGCTTATGCCAAATAAGCACACAAGTGTTCTCTCGAGTGGACAATGTGGACTGTAATGTATGTATACTTAGTCCAACGATACAGTGCTTTCTTCCATCATATTATACATTATATTCTATATTGGTTATCGCTACAAAATATAAAAACAACCGCCAAACATATGAAATCGTAATCATTTTGTTTGCCGGTAATCAACATGCAGAGTGAATACGACACGATATATAACTCCTATCGAACTAAGGACTCTCTCTCCCGTTTTCAGAATTTGAATTATTTGTTTCCATGAAAAAGTTGAAAACCGATGAAAATATTAACTATCAAAGTTGTTAGTATCATGTCATAAAAAATCAGATTAGTAGTCATTCATAATACATAAATAATGCATCAAATTTATAAAATATTGTGCCAAACCATCAACTGATTATAACACCTGTATTTGTGATTATTAATTTATGGTTATGAAAATTGTGAACAGACAAAGCCACTGAAACACCAACATTATTAAATATTGTTATAATCCATTTTCTAATTATTCAATAGTATTTTTACTGAAATAAAAGACGATGGCAATAGAAAACGCATTGCATACACAGGCATGAACAAGCAACATATACCGCGTGTTATAATTAATATTACCCTGTGTTGAAATTTGATTCAAAATGCTGACTGTGTTTTTTGACAATTCTGAGATGAAGAAGTAAGACCACAACAATAAGCAAGAAATATACATATCGAAGAATCAGTTGTGAGATATGGCAGCTTTTAACATATTTTTTACTACTATTTTTTGATGACTAGATGTATTCATGATAATATCATTTATAATCATAAAAATTGTTTTCTATTAACTGAGAATAGTTCTCGTGTTCGGCGTTATATTCATTACATGAATTTTCGGTTTTCTACAGCTGTCTTTATCTCGAACTTTGTTGTTTGTGTACGAGATACGTAATGTCTTAAATGAAGCAGACAATCCCGCATATTCTGTCAGCATAATTAGACGATGTTTCAGAGCAAGTTCCTACACCGAATATCGGCGACGATTAGAAAGTGTATGATGTGTGATGTATATCGAGACTCGGTAATGGTTTCTTTTTTTTTAGATTTTCTCACACTTTTTCTAATGTATATATATAACGATTTATTTCATGCGAACAACTAAATATACGGTTAACATGACCAGATTACTGGGACAAATGAATTGATTTCTAGACCATCTCAACTTACTAGGGTGTTTAACTCAAGGTACAACAATGCTCCCTATAAGAGGATTGCAGATACAGTATGGTCTTGGAGAGACGTGGACTCTTATGTATGGTCCGCGTTCGTTACCCACTATTTGGAGCCTATTTATTTGTGACGTTTAGATCGGCATGGCGACGTTTGCGTTTACTTACAGAAGCCGTGGTTATCAGTTCGGATCCTAGGTAGCTAAACTCCTAATTCCTGTGACATATTTTGTTCTTCAAAAATCACTATGTAGTTGACATTCGGTATACCGACTTCTAAAAGCGTGTAGATGTTTATGTCCGATCAGTTGGTATAAAGTAACAGATTATCAATGTGCTGACTTTGCGTCTTATTAATTATAATTATACAAATTAATTGTTTTTAACTAAGAATTGGTCTTAACATATAGTCGTAAATTCGTAAAACTGGAACACTTTCGCTTCTCAATAAGTCTGTCAACAA